AGTGGCAGCAGAGTGTGCGAAGTTTGAGTTTTCAAGGAAATTGAACACCCAAAATTGTGGAAAATCCAAACAGCCAAAAATTAATTTTAAACTTAATCTGAAAGATAAAAACAAAAAACGTGTAAGGCACCTGTGAAAAACATGTAACCTGAAGATGTGAAATTTGAACTTCAAACTTATTTTTATTTTAAAGTGGAAAAGAAAGATAATTAACTTTAAATTAAATCTGGAGGAGAATGATAAACCAATAGCAACAAAATTTTAAGGCTTCTATATAAGTTATATAAAATAGTGCATCAGAAAAGGCAGACTCGTGAATCGAAACAGAGGCAAAAGGGAGTTTCTTATCACTTCTTATACAACATAAACATAAATAAAAGCCATCGGTCGCAAAAAAAAACGAAATGTTGAAACAAACTAGGTGAGCCAAAAATTTTATGTCTCGATAAAAAGCAACTAGGGCCCAACTAAGGCTGGAGTTACGTGTATGCATTTGTATTATTGTATGAATTTGATAGAATGATTCGGGGCGAAAAAGATTTTTTCAAAAATTGGACTTTGATTAAAACTTCAGTTGTTTCTCTACTAAAATAAGTGAAAAAAGTAAACAAAAAAAAACTGGAAATAATCAATTTTCCCCAGGAGATAACGTTTCTCTTAAAAAAAATAACGGAGTCGCTGTTTCTGTAGAAAAAAAATCAAAGTTCTTTCAATTGAATTTTTCATCTCAGAATTGATGGGTAAATATTAAGAAAATTCAAAAGTTTCTAAAAAACAGTCAAAAGTTCTAAGATACAGTCAAAATAATTTGCAAAATTGATGTTTTTTTACAGAAAGCAAGCTGCCGCTTACGCAGAAAAGGTTCCTAAAATCAGCTTCTCGATTGAGCACAACCTGAGAATTAGCCCGCTAATTTTCCTATTAATGCATTCCGTTTCCAAAAAACAGTCAAAGTTAGCAAGATAGTTAGCAAGAAAAGTCTTAAAAACGGCCAACAAAGCAAAACTTTGACATATCCAAGGTTCATAGATTTTTTTGTCAGAAAATGAGGGCCTCGCATATGTGCAGTAGACATTCACGCAATCTGTAATTTCGATTGAACCCAAAATCTCAGATTTGGGAAGATAATTCTCGAGAAAAGTCTGAAGTTAATTTTTAAAGTTTATTTTAAAATTTTTTCAGGCGTCTGTGAAAACCATGTTGACTGAAGATGTGAAATTTGACTTTAAAACTTAATTTTCAACTTAATATGGAAGAGAAGGATAAGTAACTAATCTGGAAAGAGTGATAACAAATAGCAAAAAAACTTTTAAGGATTCTATGTAAATTATATAAATTATTGCCTCAGAGCAGACAGACCCATGAATCAAAACAGAGGCAAAAGGGAGTTTTGTATCGCTTGCGATCCAACCCAAAAATAAATAAAAAAACATATCAATCGAAAAAAAAATGATTTGTTGAAACAAACTAGTTGAGCCAAAAACTTTGTGTCTCGATAAAAAACAACTAGGGCCAAACTAAGGCTGGATGTACGTGTTTGACATTTAAAGAATTTGATACACTGATTCGGTATAAAAAGTTTGATTTCAAAAAATGAACTTTGGCTAAAACCTTAGTTGTTTCGCTACTAAAGTAAAAGAAAAGTGTAAAAAAAATTGGTGATAACCAACGAATAAAAAAGGTTCCAAGGATCATAGGACATTTCCAATGACATTTCCAAGGATCATAGCTTTTTGTGTAAAAAAAAGTACGAAGTCATATATATGCAGTAGAGGTTCCCGCAACCTGTAATTTTGATTGAACCCAAAATCTCATATTTGGGAAAGTAATTCTCGAGAAAAATCAAAAACTTTTTTAAAAAATCAGCAAAAAAGTCAAATTTTTGACTTTTCCGAGGGTCATAACTTATGATGCGACCAAAATTTGGCCTTAGTCGCATAAACAATTGGGCTTCTCACAAGCCGAGATTTGAATTGAAAATGGCAGGGAGTTTTTGAAAATATTCAAAAAGTTTGAAAAACGGTAAAAAAAAATGAAAAAACTTGCGTTTCCGACCGTGATAATTTTTTTTATAAAATCTTTTAAAAAAACCACTAATTCAGGAAACCTTTCATCACAAGTTAACTCTCTTGAAACCACACCTTTAGATTTGATAGGTTGTTTTTCTAGAAGAGTCAAAAAGATTAACAAAACGGTCAAAAGACAAAAAAATTGACTAATTCGAGATCCATAGTTTTGTGTCATAAAAATTTAAGCGTAACGGAGAAGGGAACTTTTCAAAACCGTTCTTCTCAAGGAAACCAAAAACTCAGATTTGAGACGCATACTTTTCGAGAAAACAAAAAAAAAACATCAAAAAAATATGGGTCAAATTTTCAACCACAGGTTTTTCGAAGAGGGGTCAAATAAAAAGAGGCCTTAGGGGAAAAAGCAGGCACGCAGGGGTGCAGGCATTCTTTCAATTGATACCACCTTTTTGAAAACAAGTAAAAGTTTGTGATAAAAACTAAACTTTCAACAAAACATCAAAAAACAAAACTTGCAAAAACCGATTGGTTAAGATACAACCATTTAAAAAGTGCGAAGGGGAAAGTCAAAATTGTGTTTTCTTTGAAACGACCCACAATTTGGTCATTAAACCAATAAAAAACTAGGTCAAAGTAACTTTGGCCGAGGATGAAGTTTTTTTTAGCGAAACGAAAAAAAAAGGAAATTGAAGTAAAGGTAAGTAAAACTAAAAATTGCCGAAATAAATCAAACACAAAAACGATGTTAAGAAAATGCGCGCAGCAAAAAAAACGATTCCGAGATGTCACAACTACGCCGAGAACTTTTAAACGGACAAACAATTGGCCGACAGTTTTCTTTGAAACACAATCTTTCCCGTTTACAAAGAACAGGTCCCGGTCAGATACGAACTCAGGACTTTTCCGTCGTAGTAAGGTTAAAATTTTATCATAGAAATCAAAAAAGAACGAAAGAACACAAAAAAACGAAGGGAGCGTTCAAGTTGCGGAATCCACTTACAATTCAAAAATATACACTTCGGCATGATAATGCTGAAAAGTAAAAAAAAACTACCAAAAACTGTTATTTACCAACCGGGAACTGATATATAAACACATTGGTTGTGTTTCTACTGCAAATGTTGCACCGTTTAACAAACGGATGACTTTTCAGGCCTCGCTGGTCAAGACGAGTAATGACTTTAAGTATAGAGATATTCCCAACAGTTTTTTTTTCATCTTTTATTATTCTTAAATCTAGAAAAATTGAATACTAGTATTTCGAGAGAATGAAGCGAGCAACCAAGCTTATACACAGAGAAGTTTCACTTCGAATAAACAAGCAAAAATATGACCGATAACCCTGCTGGGAAAAACTGAATGAGTAAAACTTTACATAATTTCTTAAGTGACACATGCCAGTTGTGAGTCTACATAATTACTGTGATGCAAGCCAATTAGACGCATTAGCAGTACCAGTCGATTTGAAAAAAAAAATTACCAACTAACATGCCTCTATTCATACAGCGGACACATTTAACTTGTATACGAAAACAATTATCAAAAACATCCCACCCTGCCCAGGCTCAAACTCTTATTTTGTTGGGGTCTCCTTCTCTACCTCTACGCTACAGATCCATGATACCTTGAAGCTTGAGTGCTATTTGTAATATAAAATTCTGTGTTAATATCCTAAGCATTGGCTGTACTTAACAGCTGGTTATTGCTCCGACTTTCATAACGAAAGTAACATAATATTTCTGCTCGGGTTGGGTTTTTTCTTCAGGCAACTGACTTTTTAAGTAGCCATTTTTGACGGGTTTTTGTTAAAATCCTTCAAAAAGTATTGTTGTCCTGAGCTTAAATTGGAAAAGATATTTCACCTGTAATCATTTATTGTTAAGTTAGGGTGGTTTGAATATTGCCATTTTGGGAGAGTTAACGCGCGACATATTTCGCGCAATTAACGCATAAGCGGAGATTTAATCCGTCCTAGAAATCGTTCCAAATTGGTTGAAGGAAGCTTATTTGCCATAACTGATTTGTTCGAGCGAAAATAATCACTTTGTTATCACTCAAATTTAGAAAAAAAATATTTTTTACAATTAATTTTTGATGTTATTACTGCTCCATAGACCTGAAAAGGCAGTCGGAACATTCAAGGCCTCGCCTTGATACGAGCAGTCTTGTTGATCTTATGCTACTACTGCTATTTTTACAGAACATTTTTCATGTTTCACCTTTTTACGAAGACTAATGCCGATTGAGCCAAATTTGCAATTAATATCGAAAAGTTCTAGACTTTAAAAAATCAAAAGTTTTCTTTTCATGGTGGTCAGTGATACGTCTGTGATACTTTTACAGCAAATTTCTGCTATTGCTGATGCTTTAAAATGTTACGGGTGGGACAGAACAAAGTTTGCACAGGAGGCTTGGAAACCCAAAGGCCGTCCCTAGCATGTTTCTAACACTTCCCTCTAAGGGATGATAGATAACAGCCATTATATATTCACAGCATGATGGGTCCATGACTCATTGGTGCTCTTCTTCAGTTAAATAAGTCAAGTCACCATTTTCGATGAACTACTCTGAGATAAGAGTTGCTGGCCGATTGCACATTGACAAAGCTGCACGTCGTAAATTCAAGGGAAAAAAAGGCAAAACTCGGTGTCTAATGTCTTCACAGCTGCCCCATGGCACCTTCCTCTCTTCCAAATCCCAGTCCTCAAATAAGCAATTAAATTGCCAAACTGAAAAGCAGTTCACAGATACTGAAACTGAGCACTAACTTAACCAAGTGAAACTGGCTGGAAAAACTAAACTCTTAATATAGCTCAAGCATTCGCTTGTGTAGAAATATCTGGCTCAGGTCCGCTTTCTAAGCGTAACTTTTCAATTACTTTTCAGAGTCCTCAATATCCAAATCACACATTTGCTTCCATTCAGCTGGTTGCTTTGCTGATTAAGGTTTAGATACTGTAAGCTAAAAACTGATAATACAATTTGTAAATTAGAAATAGTACATTGGTAGGTGTTGCAATTAATATTTGCAAACTGCACACGCACAACTAGTTTGTACATCAGGCCCAAGTCAACTCCCAATCTGATTTAAAAAAAAAACAAATTTCTCAAAAATATTTCAAATATTTAATTGCTTGAAACTTTTAAACCAAAATAGATTCAAATAGAAACCTGTCTTCTTTAAAGGAATAATTGGTATGAGTTAAAATTCCTACCGTTTACTGGACATTTGAAGGTGAGAAGGTGGAAATATTGGTGAGCACCATAATAGACTAGTTAGGTTCGAGGAAAAGTCGGAGGTAGGGTGTGTCTCTAAACAGAGGCGTAGCAGTCTACAATCGATTGCATTTTATTTTAGGCTTTCACTTCATTCCAATTAAATTCAGTTCAGTCTTGACAACACATGCGCATTGATCATCTGTTACGATATCAGGCCTTGGGGTATTTTGGTCCTCTTTTTTTTCTTCTCTGTTCTGTTCGCTCAGTCGTGTCTTGTCTTCTCTTCTCTTCTCTTCATTATGCCTGGCACTCGCCCAACTCCAGCCGGTCGTCTGCCATGGTTATGATGCCATTGTAGTGAACTATGGCTGCCACTACCACCAACACGTGGAATATCTGGTGACTGTGGCCCCAGATGTCCAGCTTGCCCGGCACAAATCTCTCCGGCACTCTACACGCGTAGATCAAGGCACCTAACACATGAAAAAACCCATAGTCACAGTTCACTCATACACACTCATATAGCTTCAGGTGCTGTAAAGTGAGACGAAATTGTTTGCATTTTGCAGGGATATTCTCTTCTATTACTACAGCACTCGTTATTCTGAACCCATTACTGATTGATAGTAATAACTTAGGCATTGGATATTGAATTAATGAATTGAATGTTTCGCTTTCGTCACGAAGGTGACTGTTTGTTTGGTTCGACCACTGAGATGTTTATCATTTGGTGTGTTTCTGTTTGTTGCGTCTGTCTGTCTGTCGGTTGTAAGAGAGTACCTGCAATGTAGAGCAGGGCCACAGTGATGATGTAGGGGAACTTGGTGTGTTCTAGTCCATTCTCCACCACACTGTGTAGGAAGGGCACCACTCCACTGCACCCTAGGGCTATGAAGGTGCCAGTGCGCAGGGGTCTGTAGATGGGGGAGGAGAACCTGTCCCACAGACTCACTATGATGCAGCCAACAGCTAACACAACACAGCACAATAAACTACACATATCACAGCATATTGCACATACACCAACCACACCCCTCGTAGTATATCACACGTCCACGTCTCTATCTTTACACACATCTCCATTCAATACCTGTCTCATGATGCTCTAACAAATGCCATGTTCTTAATAAGGGACCCAACTATTTCCGATCTCTTTTCCTATGTTAAGCTCTATAAAATAAAAAAAAAACGTCTGAATTGTGTCATTTTTTCATAAACCAAATTTCATATACCGAGCCCTTCCAGACAAATGAAACGTTTGCCTACAACTTCCTGCTCCTCATTCGCTATATTGGGCCATGTTGCCACTTATTTTTGTTATCAACAAGTTAATCCCTGTATATGCGTGATCCGGGTAGACCTATCCAACATGACCTTCTCTACTGTGATAGAGGTTCTAATTAATCTGCATGTGTGGTGGGCGAATAGATCATTGCCATAGTGGGGTGGTTGGGGCGGGGCTACTTACAGAGGAGTATCATGGTGGAGATGTAGAAGAGCATCTGGGTGTGGTGGCAGTAGAAGCCGTAGTAGAGCCAGGGCACGAAGGAGCCCAGGATGAGGATGGAGATGCCGGAGTAGTCCAGTTTGGAGAACAGTCTGCTCATCTGCACAGAGTGGCAGTAGAGAGTGTGGTACAGCCAGGAGAACGTCATACACGCCACAGCCGACACGAAAAACGCCAGAAACACCTAAGCATAAACATATACACGAATGAAGTTAGTCACGCAGAGGTATAATTAAACACGTATCCAGATGAGAAAAAAATATATTTTTGAAATTTAAAAAGTTGTTCACATGAGAGGAGGTAAGAACCTCGCTAGATACTGGTCACACACCTGGCGGGATATTTTGGTACTACTTTAATAAGTAAACCTGTCGGGTACGGGAGGGAAAGCCACTGCATGGCGGGGGAAGAGTCAAACAACCGAAAAGCAGCTTAAAGAAAGCCAGCAATCAGATTGAACTCTTGAAAGCAAGTTCCAAAAGGCTCTGTACTGTGGAGTCCTTAGTTAGCTCCTAAATACGGGAAAAATTTTCTCAGAAAGGCAGCGCACTCGGTCCTAACTGCAGAAGAGCTTCTCAGGAAGTTTTTCGTTTCCCTGACCGAACTCCTGAGCGAAAGGAAATCAGCCTGATCGCAAAAAATGAGCTACAACCCCAAGGACCAGATACACGCGAGTGCATCGAAAATTTGAAACTCCCCATAACGGTCAGAGAGAGGAGTCGGTTTTCTGTATTACTTCCACTAGATATGTCAAATTTGTGGCTCTATCGCCCAAAACACTGTAGGTTCGCGGACAAACCTTATGATTGTCGCGTACAAACCTTATGATTGTAAATAAATAAAGTAGTTTCTTCTTCAGTCATTAGTTTTTCGCGCTAACTGATGTCATTTCATAGTTAACGAGTGAAAAATTTAAAGCGTGGACAAATTTCGATCTTGACTTAGCGGTTTTCTCGTCTAATTTTCTTATTTTTCTCCAATTCGCAGTAAAAAACTAAGTCAAGATCGAAATTTGTCCACGCTTTAAATTTTTCACTCGTTAACTATGAAATGACATCAGTTAGCGCGAAAAACTAATGACTGAAGAAGAAACTACTTTATTTATTTACAATCATCAGGTTTGTCCGCGACAATCATAAGGTTTGTCCGCGAACCTACAGTGTTTTGGGCGATAGAGCCACAAATTTGACATATTAACCCTATTCATCGAATTTTTCATTTTTCTTTGCGGTTTTCTCGTCTAATTTTCTTATTTTTCTCCAATTCGCAGTAAAAAACTAAGAAAAATGAAAAATTCGATGAATAGGGTTAATACTTAAACACAGCGGCGAAGCGGAACTTTGCATCACTTGCGATACATAACAATCATAAAAAATGAAAAAAAAATGTTGAAAAAAACTAGGTGAACCAAATTTTCGTGAAACTTGATGAAGGACACCTAGGGCCCAGCTAACGCTGGCTGTACGTGTTTATTATTTCTTGAATTTTTTATACTGATGCGGTACAAAATGCTTAATTTCAAAAATTGTACTTTGCCCAACACCTTAGTTGTTTCTCTACTTAATTAGATGTAGTTGTTTCTCTACTTAATTGATGTAGTTGTTTCTCTACTACTACTTTGCCCAACACCTTAGTTGTTTCTCTGCTAAATTAAACGTAGTTGTTTCTCTACTAAATTAAATGACAAGAGTGAAACTTGAGATTTTAGAATGTTCCCGGAGACAAAATTTTTCTCTTACAAAAATATCAAAAGCATTTTATGCAGGGAAGATTCGCGCAACCGCTTTTTTCGATTCAACTTATCATTTCAGATTTGATAGAGCAGTTTTTCAGAAAAATCAAAAAGTTTCTAAAACAAGGTTAAAGTTCAAAACCTTCGAACTGTCGATATCCGTAATTTTTGAAGAGAGGATTCCCAAAATTCGATTGATTTTTAACGTGAGAATTGGCACGATAACTTTCGAGTAAAGTCACAAAACTTCCAACAAAGGTCAACAAAAGTTTAAAAACTTTTACTTGTTAGGCGGTCACAAATCTTTTTTAAAAAACTGGGCGTAGCAAGTTACAGAGGTAAGCTTCTAACAATCTGTTTGGTCGGTTAAACCTATGATAACAGATTTCGCAGGATAGCTGTCGACAAAACTCTATGAAACAGTTAAAAAATCAGATAGTTGACTTTTCCGAGAATCATTCCTTGTTTAAAAAATTATGGGTGTAGCCGCTTATGTAGAAATGATTCGCCCAACCTTTAATTTCGATTGAACCCAGAAACCCAAGTTTGGCAGGGTAGTTTTCTCGAGAAAAAACGAAAATTTCAAAAAACGGTCAAAAAAATCAAAATATTGACTTTTCTGAAGGCCAAAGTTTTTTGTGTCAAAAAAATTTGGGCATAGTCGAGTATGCTAAGGATATTCCCACAATCCGTTTTTAGGATTGAACCCAACATCTCAGATATGCAAGGTTATTTTTCGGTAAAACTCATAAAATTTAGAAAACCACCGCTCAAAAACCAAAAATTGTGTAAAAAAATTTGTGAGTCACTGCTAATGCAGGAAAACTTCAAACTGTCTGTTATCTCCATTGAAACCTCACGTTTGCGCGGTTAGTTTTTGCGAAAAGGCAGAAAGATTAAAAAAAAACTGTCAAAAAAATCAAAAATTATACTATTCCGAGAGCCATATTTTATTTGTAAAAAAAATTGGGGGGTAGCTGCTACGCAGGAGAGCTTTATAAGCCTTACTAAGCTGTTAATTTTATACTACGCTATCAAAAAGCCGTACAGGTGCCTCAAAAGTCGCACCAATATTTGCGACTTCGGTTAGAAAAAAAAATAGTCATAGTAAAAATGGAAATCTTTTACCGAGCGGAAAAAAGGGACAAACTTTGTGTCGAAATCTTTTGAGCCGAAAACAAAACTTCAAGTTTTAGAAGTTTTTACGACCCATCAAACTGAAACACATAGTCGCATAAGAACATATTTTGCCTACGAAAATACGCAATATAAGTTGACTAAGTCGATATAACATGAACTGAAGATGTTAAAAAATAGATTAATCAAAACGAAAAAAAAATTAAAATCAGACTTGGAACAATATTTGGAACGATAGAAACTAGGACGAAAACCAGGAACCCGAAAAAAATGAGAACTTTTTTTTGAAGAGATAATTACAACCTGGAACAGGCTTGAACTAATTACTAGCTAAGTGATAGCACTTTTTTTGGAACGTTTAAGAATCTCAAGAAGTGAAGACCCTCTAGACTTGATTTCTGTGAAACCGAAAAAAAAACAGAACAATAGCGATGACGAAAAGTCAAATTTGGGCTGGGGAGCCAGTATTGATTGTCTGATTTCTGGTGAAGTTCGCGATGGGGTGGTAGGATTTTCGAAAATTTTGTCGGCCTTTTGTTTAGGTCAATCAAATTGATTTTCCTAGCGCTCCCAGAACACATTATAAAAACCCTATTTTATTAAAACTTTTTCCCCCGGAAGCAAATTTTTGAAAAAGGAACAGGTCAAAAATGCCGTTTATCGACACTTTTTGGAAAATTTTGATTGAAAAAATCGCGTTCAAAATTAGTACATATTGAACGAAGACGCCTTTAGAGAAAATTAAGGATTAGTCGACCGAAAATGGTTTTCATAAAATAATACTTAAGGGAGGACCCTTTGATTGGTAAGGGGGTTGAATCCCTGAGGAAAAGGTGTCCACATTCGCCCATTCTCATATTGTCCTTAGGGGGGTCTAAATGCAGCTAGCGAAACACAAACCAGTAACCACAAGCCAAAAATTATCGGAGCTCATACCTTTGACGTTAAAACGAGGGAAGCTGAAATTAAATCTGAGGCATGCATCAACCCAAAATGCGGATGAAATACGATGAGTATGTCGGAGATATGGCATTCAGAGAAAGGTGATCTTACAGACGAATACTCCCTATTCCTCCGTCAGGCCCTCAATGCAGCAATAGTCAGAGACACTAGCGCACTCATAACCAAGTTTATTGGATATCCTGCTACTGGTAACAGCTACTGGTCAGATTGAAAAACTGCTGACAATCTATTAAGGATAGACTATGACATCATCGGCACAAGCATGTTGAACTTGACTGAACGGGCAATTGAGAGAAGGGCAAAGAGACGAGATAAAGAAAACCAAGAGAAAACAAGGAAAGCCAGTTACTGTGCAAGTAGCACAGAATGTTCCGACCAGCCTTATAAAATTACAAATTATTTTTCCAATTAGTGTCGTTTTTCGGCATGGTGTGATAAATGAATCTGAGCGAAAAAGTAGAGCTCAGGCATTTTCATCAGTCATGTAAAACATGCAAATTGGTAAACAATTTTTGAAGACAAATGACAAACAAAATTTTGAAAAAAAATAAAAATTTCAAACCGGTTTATCTCGACATGGGCAAAACTTTTTAAAATTTTTTGATGTCGTTCGAATCACGACTGAAAGGGCTTTAATATGATATATCACTCAACCCAGTGCGATCATTATTAATGGTACCTATCAATATTTTGCGTGGAAAACAAAAAAACTAAAACACCCGAATCAAAATTGCTCCCCATTTTCAATGGTCGGAACAACAAGAGCTAGTGCTCAAGAATACAAATTAGGAAAACTCTCCTATCGATGGAGCGAAAGTCTTCTTCATAAGCAAAGCCAGATGATTTGACAAACCATCAACGAGGACAGATCTCAGAAGAGCCAATGGAGCATTTTTTCCTATCAAGTCGGAATGTTGGGCTGCTAACCAAACAATGATCTCTTTGAACCCAGGACGTTCAAAATGACCCATGACACTAACTGGAGAGATCAATCTAGAAAGGGACATGGAACTGGCTGTCGAAGGGCATCTCCAAAAAATCCAGCGAAAGAGGCGAACAGAGTGCAGATGCAGAGCGACACTCAGGACTTACGGCATTACGTGGTTTGATCGATTCAGGAAAACTATCGGGTCAAGTAACGTGCAAATTCAAATACACTAAATGGAGCTCTTATATAAAAGCTAACGTCAAGCATCGGATACTGAACGAGGTCTCTGGGCCGAGACTTAATAGCACACACAAGCCAAAACAAAGCTCGCATCACCATTCATTCCTCCAAAAGACACAATATAAAAGAGATTTTGCCACAGACCTACTTGAGGCTTCGCGGGACCAATTAATTCCAATCGAAG